TTAATTTAAAATCATCCAGGAGAAAGGAAGGCCCGATTGTTCTCAGATCCAGAATCCACAAATTACTGAACAAATGTATTTCACTTCCTTTTTCTTTCTCAGTGAAATGGCCAATGGTACCTACAGGTTAAGACTAATAAGGAATCCTAGTTGTGCAAAAAACTGACTAGCCTACCTTTCTTAGCTACCTTGATGCATGTGGTTTGAATGATATAGTATGTAATGTAAGATGAAAAAGAAGACAGGTAAAAAATCAACTCGTCCATCAAGTACAATCTTGCAATGTGTAAATCTGCTCCCAGGTTGCTATGAGGCTGAAGCTGCAAGACAGCAGGCTAGAGCACAGGTTAGAAGGCACAAATTTCTCAGCAATCAAAAACCAAAAGCAGCTCTTTACATTTCACAGCTCTGATATGTTAATCAGACTGCAAATAATTCACTCGCACATCTAGATCCCTTTCCCAAAAGGACTCCAAGGTTACTGGTTCTGATATACAGTGGATCTTGTTGGTTTGTTGTACAATGTGAACACTCCTGAAACCTAAAAGTCAAAAGGATTTTTCAGGTGAAGAAAACTTAAGCACCTAGGCATCTTTATGAGCACCTGTCTTCAATTCTTGATTCAGGAGTATACACTGATGTAGAACACTGAGCTAAATGTATAATGCTGAAAGCTTGATTTTGCTGAGTACATGCAGATGACAAGACCAAGTCACAACCTTCTCAGTTTTACAGGTGTCAAACCTATGTCAAGTTCCTGCTCAAAACAACACTCTTCTGCTTTGTGGACATGGCAGGAGCAGGGAAACTGTCCTTTGAATGAATACTTGCATATTCCAGACTTTCAGACATGTTACTCATTATAGAGTAAGCAGTTTCGGTGCAGGGACTGTCCTGACCTGCGCTAGCAGTCAGCACATTGTCAGCACTTAGCCCATGATGATAAATAAGGATGGGATTTTCAAAGCTGCAGAAAGAAACCTGAGCTTCTCATTTCTGTTACATCTGTAAAAACCTGGGAACCCAAATCTCTGAGCTGGCTTTGCAAATCTCAGCATAAAATATAGAAGTGGTGCCTGAAAAAGGCAGTCAGGTAGAACAGGTGCCAAAGATTATGCTTTCACTCAAAGTTAACAAAATGACTTCCCTCAGTCTTAGATAACCATAAGCCCTTCCTGTTTCTCAAGTAGCTTTTACATCATCATCATTAAAAGAAAAACTCAGCAATCATGTGGTGCCAGGTCACTGGTGATCCAATCCATTCTGAGATAAACAATGCTGTCTACTCTGTATGAGCTGAAGGTAAAAGGATGCTTCTCTTAAACAGCTCAGCTATGATCACTGAAAGCACTCTGCTTCGGAAGTCACACAGGACCAGTATGTATTCTGTGGTGTGGAACAAGAGAAGCCAGATACACTCCAGCAAAGAGGTTATTCAAGAGGGTAGTCAGTGTAGGAGCAGCAGAAGACAGCTCTTATGTACTGCATGGTTTACGTGTACAATGTGTTTGAAGAACTAAGCCCAAGGGGATCATATTTAATACGGATATATTCACTTTATTTCACAGTCAAATGATTATATGACTTGGCAGAGGCCACATAAGTCAGTGGCAGAATCAGGAAGATTTTCTATAGTCTGTTTTATCTGTGCAGGTATTCCTCCCATTAAAATTTAGCAAGAAAATTATGAAGTCAACACAAATTTTGCATAAGTAAAGACTGCAGGATTTGATCTAACCTGAAGTCACGTTCTTTCCATTGGCTCTAGTGAATCATACAGGAGTTCCTAAGCTTGGTGGTGCAAACCTTCATGAAAAGACACTGAAACCTTTTCATTTAGATGCTGTTCTACAACTGACACTCTTGGGCTACGACAACTAATCTCTAGGAAGCAATGAAAAGCTTACCAGAAAATTTGGTTGAGGAAGTATGGATTTATCTTTACCAACTCAAAGGGCTAAGTACTTAAGGCTACAGCAGAACAGCCCTTAGAGAACAGAATTTGTGGGCCCCTAGAATTTTCTTCTTCCTAATGACTCTCTGTGCTTCTTGCATGCTATAAAACCCATCCCTTTTTGCATTTCAGCATCTCTATTTCCTTTGATCTGTACAAATTTCTCATTGATGCTAATAGAGAATGACACTGATGGGGAATATTTTTGCAACAAGGGGAGCATAGAATTGTTATTCTGGCTAAAGCAAAAGCAATATGACTTAAGCAGAGTTTTTAAAAGACTTTACTCAAGGCTGTGCAATTGAACATGATATTAGGCTTTCTCTCCTTTTTTTTTTTTTTTTTTTTAATTATGTCCATATTTTATTCAGGTTATTGTATTCTTGTAAAATTATACTGGCAACCCACTCTAGCACGTTAACAACAAAAGAAATTCTCTAGCTTATTATAAACATCTTTCAAGAAACCAGAAGCACATGTCCTCTGGAAATAATTTTGCTGGTATTTAGGTTATTACAAAAAATTTCCCCAAACACTGGAATTATTTTGTAATGTTTCCTTATACTCTAGCTTATTTGCTTAGGTTTTCTAGAATATTCTCCTGGTGCCTCGGTGTGGTACCTTCCTTGGGTTACACAGGAAAGCTGCAGAAGAAGTCCAGAAACTCAGCAATTTGAGTCTGTCTTTTCAGTGATGATTACTGAGTAACTATGTGCCATCACTGAAAAAAGACCTAATGCAGACACCCGCTGTGCAATAATTACAGTTGGAAAGAAAAAAACTATTTTGTCCTGCATGGATTTGGTAGGATGACAATAATATTTTTTGCCCCAAAACAGACTGAAAATTTAAAATCTGAGAAATTTTGGGGAATTAAAAAAATGGGGAGGTGAGCTTGCTGAAAATCAACAAAATGTTTAATTTAAATGAATTTGATATGTCTTTTTCTCGGTAATTATTACCATTTTGTATCTTCATTGAAACTTCTACTTCGATTTGTTTAATTTCCTCACTGAAAAAAACATTTAAAACCATTAAAAAAAGATTTTTTTTTTCTTTTTTTCTGAGAAGACTAAAACATAGGGGTTAACCAACTGTGTTTTAAAGTGAGCTAAGAGGAACGGAAATGGGAAGCAGCTCTGGGGAGCGTCATACCCAGCTTCTGAATGTGCCCTATAGACTGACTTGGGTTTACTTTACTTTGCCCTTTATTGCATTTTATTGCTATGTGAGTTTGGGTCCTGAAAATCCCTTGGATAGTATTCGTTGGATTACTTTTTGACTTAAAACTAATACATCCATAGACTGCATGTTTTCTGCAGGCTGCAGTGTGTCTCCAGGTGCACTCTGAGGTGAAATATGAAAGGGGAAAGAGCAACATATGGAAACGGCTGCCAGACTTGAGTCCAACAGTAAGGCATTGAAACTGTGTCTGCTGGCTGCACACAGTGTGTGGATCCTCAGTCATGCTAGGGAAGATAAAGCCGATTTCCTTGTTTGAAAAGGCTTTATTCCTGTTCACCTCCGAAGAGTCTGAACCTTGGCTGGAGTTGTGTAGCAGGAAGGGAAGAGCCAACAGCTATTTGTAGCCCATATCCTTGGATTTATTCCAGAAAGAAAAAGCATCTGGAAACAGATTTACCTCAAGTTCAGCATGTGTTGATGTGCTTTATTGACCTGCAGGAAGAGCCTGAGTGCCTTAGCTGATGACAGCTTTTCCTAGGAGGGCTGAAGACTGTTTTCTGATGTAGCTGCGTGCCTGAGCACAATGATTAATGCAGTGTGCACATGGCAAAGGGTGGCTGTCATCCCCTGATGCCAAGTGCTCTCATCTGTGTCTTTGTCCTCTTAGCATAGCTTTGGCCTGATGCAATTACCTACATGGATATAAGATTTTTTTCATGGACTTTTAAAACTCTGCCTTTTTCTCTACTGAAACCTGACCTGTATGAGCAGAGCCTGGCCAAGGTATAATCCCCACAGGACCAGCAGAGGAGAGGTGAGCTCCATACCCAAGCAGCAATATCAACTAAGATTTTAGCTGAGCTAAGTCACCTGGCATTATGCCCAGGTATCCTGAGTTGTACCCTGACTATGCTTAAAAGGGCTGAGGTTATTTACTGACAATTGGTGGGAAGGTCCCCAATTCTAACCCTCATCTGAAAGTGAAGACATCACAGAGGCACTTGGGTTATTCACATGGCCTAACTTTAGGCACCCACCTTCACCTAAGTTAGGTTAGTCACTTTGGGCTCTCTCTACTGACGGAGAAGGGAGAAAGGATCCCCAAAAGGCAATTCAGAGCATCTAGTCCGAATTAGTAGGAGCATCAGGCTCCTACTCTAACTCATCTCTCTTTCTATTGACTATATAGGGAGACTAGCAGACCACCCTCTTTATACAGGCAGCTGAAGTTAGTTGGTATAAAACTCTGTCTCTATTACCCCTGGATGTTTTGTTCAGGGACTGCTTTGCTACAAAAGCAGAGAAACATCTCTCCATCTATTTGATTTATCTGGCATATATCTGCAGGGTTTTTTTCAAACAGAAACTCATATCCAACAGAAACTGTCATGAGTTTTCGTTAATATGAGTTATATACATATATTTTATTCCTGCAATTCAGTTATTCCTGACTTAGACCACTGTAGGGCAGAATCAGGCTCCCCATTTCTGACTTTAAAAGTCTCAGAAGCAGTGTGACCAGTATGGTTGTGATTCTGTCGGTAACTGGTGTTTTTTCTAAAGCACCGGCTGTCAGAAGTATGTGAGAATCAATAGCAGGCTTCATTTAAGAACAGGCTAAATGTGTAGACACAATGACTGCTAGAAAGCTGGAAAACATAATCCCTTGTAATCTAATGCTAAAATGAAAAGAGCCAAGATAATTAATTCATGACTTGTAAATGTATTACTAAAAAAAAAAAGGACTTGTATGATTTTTAAGCCAATTTATAGTTTCTGAACCTAGAGTTCTGGCAACATTACAGCAACTGTATTGAGAGAGAAGAATATGGAGAAAATAATGTCATAGAAAATTACTTACCAGGGTCAATTTTCTTTGAGGTTTCAAGAGCTTGGGCTTAGGAATATTATTGACTATTGGAGCTATGGAAATAAATATTAAGGGATCATTTCATATTATCATCATTCACTGTCATTTTTAGAACATGCATTTAGCAATTTATAAATTACAGATTAACAGTGGATTAGAAACAAATACATGTACTTATACCAGAGTTTAACTTATTTCAGGCAACATATTTTACAGTGATGTATAGGGCTTATGAATTAGCAAAGTTCGTAAGATTAAAGAGTATGATATGCAAACATTCCGTTTGTGTGCAGAAGCCAGAGGAAATAGGCCCCTTGAGAACTGATCACTTGTGATCTAACCCACAGTAAAACTTCAGGTCTTTTCCCTCCTCTTTCCCAGTGGCTCAGCACTGGCAGTAGGGCTCAGAAAGTACACCCAAGAGTTTGTGAGGCTGACCCCAGAGGCAATTGCAAATCCTATTTGAAAGCGAGGTCCTCAAGAGGTTGATCTTTATCTGCTCATCTTGCTTGACTTCTCAAGTACGCCTGCACTTTTAAGAGTGCAATGTGCTGGCTTCCCTCAGTCTACCCTCAACATGAAATTCCATCTTGCCTAAATTTAATCTTGTCTTTGAGTAGTATGAATATTGCTACAGAGGTTCCCCTCTCTCCTCTGATTAGTTGGAGCTGAGACCTCTTGCTTGAACGCAGTGACTAGCTTTTCAGTAGCTAAAGCTGCAGGGAGGTGAGACCCTGGTCCCAGCAGCAGTCACAGGCCATTTCTTCCCCCACTGATGGCAGCGAGCACAGGTCTTCTCACAGGCAGTCACTGGCAGAGTGCAGGAGTCCTGACATCCCACACTCTGCTGTCCCTCCATGGTTGTGCTCGAGATTTAAAATACCTCTGCATCTCTGTTTGCGTACCTTTTGCAGGGATGGCTGGTGGCTGCTCCAGTTTCTCTTTCTCTTTCTTTTTCTTTACCTTCTTGGGCTGTAGAGGGGACATGCTTGTCACACTGGTAACTGTCTCCCCGGAGCTGCAAAGCAGAGGCCCATATGTGAGGGAAAAGTGAAGGAAATGGAGGGAAAGACAGTTTGTCTCAGTGAGTTAATGCAAAAACATCACCTTCCACTTAGAGTCCCTGCCCAGCAACTTGTATTTTGATCTGGGGATATACTGAAAAACCTCTTACAGGGGTTGGAAGTGCTCTGGGTCTTGTCTTTTTTCAGTCTGGCTGAGAAACTCATGAGTCTGATCTACCCTGGTGCAGAAAATACAAAGTGTCAGGTTAAACAAGACTTGTTCCATAGCACTGATTCCTTAAAAACATGTATGACCCCACTGGTGCACCGAGGATGACCCTGTACCCATCTGTCCTCAAGGGCCAGAGGCACAAATGGCTTAGGTGACTTGCATAAGCTCACACACAAAGTGTACAGCAAAGCAAAATCTTCGATGCTTTTTCTGGGCTAAGACTGGCTGAGGGGCCAGCAGGTCAGGAGGGCGTGTAGCATCTCTTCAGACAGCTCACGAACCTGCATTTGAAAAAGCTAGCTTCTTAAAAGAACCCAGTGTGGTCAGTGTGTATAAAATGGAGAAGCTGTGCCCCAGTCTCTAAACTCGGGCATTCTCTAGTACATCTGTGCTGAAAAAGCACTAGTAAGAACACAAGGGAAGAGTACAAGATATACTGTAAACAGACTTCTGTCCAATAAAGTTTCTGTGTTTGGACTATTCCAGTTTAATATCCTCTAAGTCTGGGGTTTTTACCCTTAGCATCTTCAAAAGCCTGAGTTGTAAATCCTGCTTTGAGTACTTAGGGCTTGGATATGCAGTCAGGTTGCAGCAGTTGTCACCACGTGTCAGCCGAGTTGTGGTAACTGTGCAGGTGCTCCTAGCTTGCAACTAATGGGAAATAATATTGCATTGCTTAACTGGTAGTGAAAGAAATTTTAACTTACAGCTGGGGTGGGAGGAGAGTGTATAGCAGTTAGTTATGATGACTACGGTGGTGGAGATGATGTGGCAAGCAGTTGCTGCTCAGATGCATCTGACCACGGGCTCATCCTGAGAAAGATTAACACAGTATGGTTGTGGGGACCTTTCTGTTCTGTGCTGGTGAGTTACACCACACAATGGGATCCAACCAGGGTCTCCATAGTCATAACACTGACACTGGTTTCACTTAATTTTAAATCATTTGTCCCCAGTTGCTGTTCCTCTCCAGGTTCTTTTGCATAATGAAACATTCTCTTTATATTAATAGAATAAAATATTCAAACTGGGCCAAAGTCTTAATGAAAGTTAAGATATCTCAGCTATTGCCCACACAAGAATAACAAAATAACAGATATTATAATTTTACACAGCTGTAAATCCAAATGAATGTCACTATCATTGGTAAAATTACTCTGGATTTACACTTGTGTAGATTACAAAAAGACTCTAGTTTGCTGAGTTCTGTTTCATGCACTCAGTCCAAAACATGTTTGCTGCTAAACTTTTTCAAAAGTGTTTAAAAGGTAAAATATTTTCATGATTTATAAATAAATCACATCAGTTATGTAAACTGAAGATTCCATTAAAATAATCTCAAAGTCTGCCTGCACTATTGTGAACCTATCCCACAACCATTTGTTTCTATATTAAAATCAAAACATGAAATGGTTCAAAACCAACAGGAAATGAAACTGTCCTGCCTGGCTCCATTGCCCAAACACAGCAAACTCCAAAGAACAAAGAATAGCAAAAAGGGGATGAGAATGATTTTTTAAAGGTTTTTGGTTTTACTAATCCAAGGTCATTAAGGCAGATGTGTAGTTTAAAGATACTATTATTCTGATACAGCTACTTTAAGCACAATATATGAAAAGGCTTACTGTCAATTCATTGCATTAGTTATTATTCCTGCTTTGCCACTGAAAAAGTGAAGCTACAGAGAAATGTATGTGTGGCTTACGCTCCTCTTTTAAATGCCAGGGCCTTAGAGGGTTAATTAATTCTGGGCGATACAATAACTGTACTTGCTGTCTTAGAACTGAGCTCTTCAAACCAAACAAGGAGGCTCAGAAAGGACTCCTTGGCTCTGAAACACTGCCTCTTTGTGAGCTTGTCTTTTTCTGTGTCTAAAAGGAAAGTTAGTTTTTTATCTCTGGCTCCAATTCCAGCCTCCTGACCTCTATTTCAACAGTGTAACATTGTGCATTTCTTGAAGGATCTAATGAGTTTTTAGATAGCAAGAAAAATACATGAGTTTGGGGGAGAAACCTGTAGAAGGTGTCTAACAATCATGGCACCAGGACAGCAGTTTCCCTTGAGGTCATGGCTGTCCCAAGAACTGGTAAAATACTACAGTTTTGGCTTTGCTATCATTATTAGAGTCAAGGATGTGGGACTTTTCCTGTTGTCAATTAAGTCAGCTATTTCCTTTTGTCAAAGATCTGCAAGGGGATGACAAAAAAATCGCTTCAGTGAGCTGGGAGCTGCTTTGATATTTTCCAAATAAGGGAGCTTTGTGAAAAGGTGCCAGGGATGGACTGAGTATTTGGTTCTGGTTCAGTCTAGCAGAATTTTCTCCTATGATGTTAGATTGCCACTGTGGAATCAAGATGTCGAGATGGACAGCCTCCTGAGGTAAACAGCTTTTTCACCTCAAATTGTTTGTCTCGAGAAGAGCACTCACTGAAGGACTGGAGAGTTTAGGCCAAAATAAAAGACAGAAAAAAGCAATTCCTATTTTCAAAACTACACTTCCTGGGGGTTTCTGGATCTGAAAACTGACAAAATGATCTAATAACAAGGAAGATAATAATAGGGAGGATATTTAAAGAAAAGAAAACCCCAGAAAATGGAATTAGGTGGAATTAGGAAAACCCAAAATAACTATACTTTTAATTTAGGTATTTATTTTTAAAATGTGGGGAAAAAAATGGTTTTGGTTAACTCATTTTTTCTTTTAATTTATTATTGGTCAACCAGCAAAACAAACCCTAAACATTTGCTTTGTTCTTCTCAGGAAATCTGGATTTAATTTTCTTTTCTACCAAGGCCATTTTGTGAGACCTGGGGCAAATCACTTAGCCCTCTGTGCTTCAAATTCCAATTAAGTAAAAACATTATTATGATGTCAAGACATGAAATATTTCAAGATGCTTAGGTATTACTGCAGTGGGAGTACAGACATTTCTTAGACACTGGACTATTAATGTAATTTTGAAACTGGATTCTGCCCTGAGTTTGAAATATCACTAAGGGAGTTGGAGCTAAGCCTTTCTAATCAAGGCTGATTTTTGTGCAGCGTAGTCATTTTGACTGGCAGGAATCTCATGCAAATTAGTTCATCAGTTTGGTCTAATGGTATTTAGACACTGGGTTTTGGGTCTAAATGTGCTGAATTAAGTTCCAAAACAAGGAATGCACGGGTGAAGAGAAATGAGTTCAAAGGAATTAATGGTTTGTGTTTTGAGTAGAGGGTGGAAAATAAACAGTACCAAGTGCAAAACATAACAAAAATTATGATACTGGTAACACTTTCATAGCTATTTATTTTTAAAGCTTTGAAGTCAGTGCACTTTAGACATACATTTGTGGGATCAAGGCTTTCATTAGCGTATCTTGTCACAGTGAAATACATGAAACCATATTTTTATCCATAAATAGTCACACATTTCTTTTGTTTCCAGAGACTGTTTTACAGTAAAAAAGTCACGTTGTCTTGTTTTCTCCCTGCTATTCAGCCTCCGAAGTTTAGTGTTTGCAGTAGTACTGCATCATCTACTCCCAGAAAGGCAGATTCTCTAGTATGAGTCTTTTTATCTGACTGCCATGCTCCATTTTTTCAGCCATCTTTTCAGTTGGGTCTCATTTTATTCCTCTTTTTGCGTTCTCTACCAAACTACTTTGATTTACTCCCCCTCCCCCTTCTTTTTTTGTTTTTGTAATTCCAACTTTGTCCCAGCAACTAATAAAGAAGGGGAAAGATAAAACATCCAGGGAAAAAATTAAAACTGCTGAGCTGTCTCTGTAAATATCTGGTGTGGTACAATGGCTGGTCAGGGTCACAGAACAAAGATATTTCCACAAATAATATGAAAGTTTCAGTTTGTACTGGCCTCTCCTGAACTCTCTGTTGCTTTATTGTGATTTTACTTACATCTGAGTGTCAGTTAGATTGAACACCGTGATAATCCCATAAGAATGCAGTAAAAATTACACTATTTGAGGATCTAGGGTATGCTATACTTGGCATGGAATCTCATAGTATCTAGAGAAATAGTATCTGTGATACCAAGTGATAATGGATCTAAACTACAAGACTAAAACCACATGTTCTATGTCACTGAAAACTGGGAAACAGCTGTTCTTCTGTGTTGTTATGAGGCATCCCTCTTTAATCTTTTTTGTTTGTAAAATACTTCTGTCATATTTTTTTTTTTTTAGTGCAGTTCCAGCACAATTTATATCTCAGGAAAATCATATGATGGAAATCAGTTTTAGAGCACCACAAAACCTTTGGCAATTGGTATTTAAAGGGGCAGTGATTAATGACTGCAGCAGAAGTAGAATTTTTCCCACCACTTGGGAGTCTTCAGCTGGGAACAGACTTGGGCTTTGAAAATCTGATTTTGAGCCCCTGTTCCTGGGTGCAGGAATCATTGGGTAACATTGTGGTTTGTTCTTTGTACATGGATGGTTTAAGTCATTACCATCTGGTGAGCTGTTGGGAAACACTAGAAAGCCATGCAGGATGAAAGGAGGCTTCTCCAGAAAGCAATTTCAAGTCTCAGGGAGAGGTTTGTCACTGAAGCACCTGCCAGACCTACAACTAGATAGCCCAGGTAGATCTCCCTTATCACACACAGCAGATGTTGGCTTGCAGGCACATTCATGAGTCGTGAACCCAGGACTCTATCCTCCTGTAGACCTTACTCATCTTCCTTCAGCATACATAGGAAAACAAAAACAGAACTGGTGCCTTGGATTACAGTAAAGAGAAATGTAATCTCCTACCTGTTCTGGGGGCATTTCACCAGGTAGTGCTTCACTGTTAAAGAAAAAAAAAAAAAAAGAAAATGTGGCTTCACAACAACACAGAGTATGAGTTACAAATGGGCACTGCAGCTAGACCTGTGTTTCTGAGACTGTGGGGCTGCCAGGTTGCTACACTGGGAGAGCTGCTAATCATCACCATACATTATATTGTGCATTAAAATGTAGTGTGAACCAAAGATATGGCTAGACTTGGGAGCGGGGAATGTATCAAACAACACCAAAAATCTGCTGTGGAATTGCCAGGCAAGACACATTCCAGCGGTCAGCCCAGCCAAAAGACAGCTTGCTAAGGAAAAGCACAACAGGCCAGTAATTTTACTTTGAAGACTTTTATTTCCCTTGTGGTGCCTCTATTTCCAGAAGTCTGAAATAAACCATTCACCCACAAGAGCCACTGCTGTTCCTAATGCAACCTAGGTTGTGGCCTCAAGCATAAAGAGATTGCCTCCTGGGATCAGATCAGAAGTACAGTCCAGTCACTATCCTGTCTCTGACAGCTATGTGTGCAAGCTGTAGGAATCCTTCTGCTTTGTATCCCTTTGAATCAGTAGTCCTGATCAAGGACAGCTCCCCCACTGCAGCCTTTTAGGAGCCAGGGTTATTAAGATGCTCTTTTGTGGCTTAGTGGCTTCTGTGCTCTGCCCAAGCTATGCCACGTGCTGAGTATGGAGACATGCAGGCAGGAGGAGAGGCTCTAGCTCTTCTGGTTGACCTACTGCCAATTTATTTCTCAGAAGGAAAAGAGGGTGCATCCCTGGGCCATGACATGAAGTGGAATACAACACAGACACACCCCTTGCTTCATGTTCTTCATTCTTTAAGAAGCCATGAAAACCAGACAACAGTGCACTTATATGATTATGCCCATCTCTACAGTAAAGTTTTCATATTTGGTCTTACCTAAATTCTCCCATTCTAAGGAAGCTACACAGCTCCTATGGGTTGCATTTTAATCCTAAGGAAAGGGGAACTAAGAGCACTAGTAACTGGGGCTAACACAGGACCCATGTCTAAGCCACTGAAGACAGTTCATCCATCTATCCATCTGGCCTTTTTCAGATGTACAGAACAGTAGGCCTGACCCTTCAGAAGTAAGAGGATGCTTATGTACACTGTTGACATGCTTTTGAACATCTCTAGGTATGAATCGTTTTGTTTTGCCTTACAATACTTCAAGCTTTTGAACCAGGGCTTGGGAAGAGCAACCACTCCTCTAGCAAATGGGCATAGGTTTCTATCAAAATCACAGAGGGGTTGCCAGCTGCAACACAGGTTCCCACAGCATCTCATAGTTTCCCTGTGCTATGGGCCAGCCTCAGCTGCAGTGCCAATCCAATTAAACTGAGGGATATCTTTGGTGAGGAACTGGGTTCAGTATTTCCCTTCTCATGACAGAGTGCTGAGGTGAGCCAGGATCTGCTCAGGTTTCACAGACAAGCACTCCAGACAGATCATCTCCAGCATCATCTACTGCAAATCCCAACTTTTAGTTCCGACATGAGTTGCTCTTTGTCCCAGGCTGGGCTGTTCTTGTAGAGGGCTGGGCAGAGTTTTCCCTCCCTCTTCTCCCTGTGCTCACTTGGGTGACTGCCTCCACTCCCTGTACGTGGCAGGTGGAGCAGGGCAGGTTTTCCTCCTTTTGTTAGAGCTGAAGAACTGGGGGAGGAAGCTGGAGCGGTGGGAGAGCGAAGGGAGTTGTTGGTGTCTGACAGGGGTGGGGTGACTGGAGAGGTTCAGCAAGGAGCCTTGATGGAGATTTACGCAGCAAGGTAAGGTAAGGAGATACTATAGTTTTATTTGTCCTGGGCCTGTGACCTGGTCTCAAGGGGAAGAGCAGAGCTAGGCTTCTCTTGGAGGGCCTCTGAGGAAGATGATGTGGCAACCACCTCACTGAAGGTGGAAGAAGGCTGCGCTGGGAGGCTTGGGGAGATGCAGAGGGAGGATTGCTTTGCTGTCCCTGTCTTTTCTCCTTTTTCTCAAGGACTTCATGATTTCACTGCAGGCACTTTTCACATGAATACTAGCATCTACCTAGTCCAGCCCAGGATGGAGGTACAGAGTGATGAGTATGGAGAGGAGGTGAGATAATGCTTTTTGAGGAAGGATGCCTTATTCTAACAGTCTGAAGGAGAGAGCACTGCTGTTGGCTGACAGGGTAGGTATCTTGTGGTCAGAATGTAACCTCTGGAAGGTGCCTCTAGAGAGGGTAGATGAATGTTGAGGGAGGAGGGGCTTCTGTGCCTCATGTGCATATGGCTGAGTGGAAACAGCACCTCCCAGGGAACTGCTTCTCCTTGGGGTAGAGGTTCAGGGCTGAGCTTGCTGCCATGGCCCAGAGGCTATGGGGAGAAAAAGCAATATGGGGCTGCTGGAGACTGTGTGTCACTGATGCTTCTTCCACTGCTGCTTCAGAAATTATAATTTCCTGATGCTTGACTGGGTGCCGAGCCAATAATGTGGCTCTGGAAAATACTTTGATCAAGTGGTCCTAGCTGAAAGACTTGCCTGAAAATCTTATCATTGTATACTGAGTGCCTGTCTGCTAAGCTTTATTCTGTTATATTTCCATTGACTCTATAAGTTTAATACTGCCAGTGTTTACTGGATAATCTTAAAAATCTAAATAAAAATTTGGTGAAGCCTGCAATTATTCAGGTATTAGGGTACTGAAGAAAGGATTTAGCAGCTCAGAAGAAATTACTTTTTCTCTATTGTATATGCTTATTCTATATTGTATTCTGTATTATTTCTATATTTAATTGGTGTTGGTTCAATGTAAAGAGACCTTTTCTCCAAGCTGCTTGTATGCTTAAATCAACAAAAGCAGAAGTAAAACTAGCCCAATGTTTGACCAAGAAAAACCAGGATACTTCAATGTGTCTAGTGCTTGTGGCTTCAGGGTGACTCACCATGACCAACATACTTAAGTGTGCATACTCCCTTGGCACAAAACCTTTGTCATCACTTAACAGGGTAAGAAGAATAACATTGATCTTGCTCCTTCCTCTTGGCAAGCGGAGTTGTTGGGTTCAGTTAGCATCAGAGTTACTCTGCTGAGCGTACTACCAGCAAGACAGAACTGCAGCCTGAAATGTGTTTGTGGTCAGGCAAGGACTTCAGTATACACCTATTTTTAGTTTACACGTCTTCTCCCTCATGTATCTGAGTCACTCATTCCTTTCTGGTATGTGTGTAGTGCTGAAGAGGCAGCAAAGTCACAATTCTCTCCTGTCATCAACAAGACAAATCACTAACCAAGCTCTTTTTGAAAGCTTCCGTTCAAAGATGGTCCTTATGCTCTCCTACTAACATGGTGGCTGCTAAGCATGCTGGTATCATCCTCACAACTTGAGTGAGGTCTCCAAATAAACAACTCTTCAACCAAAATGAAAGTAGAGCCTGCACTGGCAACTCCACAGATCCCAAATAGCACTTTTGATTACAACAAGGCTGCTTTCATGCAGATATAACCTCTCTGATAAACCCTCTGTGAGGAAAAGAATGAAACAGTAATCCTTGACCTTGAAAGATTATTATGAAAAGGCAGATCTGAATGATGCAACAATGCTTTGGTTTCAAAGAATGCTACAAATGAGAGGGTGCTAATAACAACCCACATATTCCCAAGAATACTGACAGCTAGTCAGGAAGGGAGAAGAAAACAGAACAGAATAAGACTGCTTTGAAACCCCTCTAAACCTCTGCAGAAATGTTAGTCACGCAAAATTTTACCTAGATCTGATCAGAATGCAATCTAATGATACAGCTCTTCGTTTTCTTTGAAAGAAGTTCCAACAACCTTCAATTTATGTTTATGCAAAGCTGAAAGATTTTGAAAAGTCCAAAGCAAATTTAAAATGAAATAGCTATTCAAAGGGAGCAAAATGCCTTTGTTCTAGTTTTACTGGCATAATTTTTTTTTTCTACCAGTATTTGCTTTTGTTTTTATTTAAACCAAGGCAAGGAGATCTTTTTCCTGCTTTTTCTACATTCTCCTTCTTCCCCCTCTCCCTCTTCAGTAGGGGCCTTGAAGTCAGCAAGAATGACATTTCACTCACCTGTGGATCTCCTCTTGTTCAGAAGTGACTGACAAAGAATGACCAGTGTAAAAAGGAGGACGTTGATGATTCCTATTGAACACACAAACACTGCATACACATACAGATCTGAAAGCCAAGCAGAGATGATTGTCAGTGTGGCAGCTGTATGCTTCACGTTTACAGGATAGAAAAAAGTTACATCTACAAAATCTAAATGGACCCCAGCCCAAAAGGTTTAGGATAACAGTTCAGAAGTAATTTAATCCCCTTGAAATTTTCATATACTACCCTGCTCAGTTTAAAATTTGGTTGAAGTCTTCATAAACGCAAATAGGTGTGACTACACCTAAGAGGACTTACTTTCAGGAGAAAGGAAAGGGCTGGTTTGGGTGTTTTTCTTTTCTTTCCTTTTTTTTTTTTTTTTTAGTGTGGCAAACAAAAAACCCAAAAAGACTTCAGTTGGATTATAACCCAGTTCAAACAGCTGTACTTTTTTTAAAAAAAACAACCAACCAAGAAAAGTGGCAGTGGGGGGAGTGCTGACTGGCTGAGGAAGAAGGAAGAAAATCTGTGATTGTTTCTTCTGGTGGCAGCACTGGCTTGAAATTTTTGTGGTGTCTTTTTTTTCCTATTTCAATCTACAGCCTCAGCCTCCCTTTATAGCTTTCATTCAGGTGCTGTAGCACACTCCCAGTGGACCTGACAGGAGCTGTACCATGGCAGATCAAGATGGAGTATTTTGCTCAGGAGAAGAAATCTTTAATGACTTATTTCTGCTTTTACTAGAACACTAAATAGAGTACTTTAAGGATGCTCTACCCATTGATGTCTTGAAATGTCCTTAGGGAGATATATTGGCTTCTTTCCTGCTTCACAGAGAGGAAACTAAGCCTCAGAGGTCAAGTGTTCTTGTAGAAAATAGCATTGCTGGAACTAGACGCCTGACCTGAAGATTTTTGCTTTTTTCCCCTTACACTACAACAATATAGTTTGTAAATTGCGATTTAAACAGCAGCACTCCCCACAAAATCAAAGCCATCCTGCAAGCAAGTACTCCTGCCTGGCAGGCAATGTAGCAACTACAAATGCCATGCTGGTGCTTCACTGGTGCTCCAGGTTGGGGTTGGAGGAGGAGGGAATTCCAACTCTGTGCAAATTCTGGATTTGGGTCTCCTGGAACAATTGTCCACTAATCTACACAGAAAATACTTTGAAACTTAAGGGCACTTTAAGCTGCTCTTGCAGTGCAGAGCATGTTAGGTGAGCGGTTTTTAAGGTTAGTGGGAGCATATAGTGCTTGGTACCTCTTCAGACATGCTTAACACCTTCCTGGATAAGGGTCTGCATTTGCATTGTGTGATTAGCCAGGCATAGGTTATTTTCTCATTGACCATAACAAATACATGAGAAACTCAAGCTGGAGCCTTCCATTCTCTTTGCTCCAGCACCCCTTATATTCTGCAGGATAGTTTCTCAGGCAAGGCCTGAGTTTGCACAGAAACAAGAAAAATAGGTGGGGCAATCAGGGATTTAGTTGTCCTGTAGCATTAGACTTAACTGATATCTTATATAGAACCAGTAGCAGTTAGATGCATCTTACCTTCAAAAAACTTCCAAGATTCATGGTTTTTCTTGAAAGTGGGATCATCAGAAGATCTTGGTGAAATCACTGAAAAAAGCAAAGGAAACATGACAAGTACTGAAAATGTGTGGCATAAAATGTTGCGACCTCTTTAAATAAATGTAGTTCCGCCTTAGACTTCAATAGACCAAGATCTTGCTTTATCTCACAGGATAATTACTTTCCAATGAAACACTTCAGTTATAAGACAGCCATATAAAAATATCTTCAGCAAATCTCATCTGGCTTGGCAGCCCCCACAAGTGCCATGTGGCTTGAGACTGCCCCCCTGTTGTCATTTTATTCTGGGAATATGTAATGTGTGGCTCTTCAGTACAAAGTTAAAAGCAGTGAAGAATAGCAAGAGAATAGAAACACACTTTAGGCCTTATAATAGGGTGGCTATGTGCTTGTAAGGTCTGTAATGGCTTTGGGGTGAGTATCCCAGGGAAAAAACTGCCATTAATGCTGTATGTAGGTGGTTTTATTCTAACTCTTCATTCTCAGTCACCCAGAACTCCTACCTCTAGAGTTGCAGTTGGTGTTTCTGTCCCAAACCAGCCTGCTTCTGAGAGACAAGATGAATAACTTTTGCTCAAGATGATGGGAATTTATCCTCCCTTGTGGTTCTATATTAAGAACGATTTTTAACACTGTAATCTACTTCCAAGTCTTAGAAGTTAAGGAAAAAAAAATATTGGAAGAGCAGTAGCTTTAATGAAGGACACAGCTCTGAAGACTTCTTGAGAATTGACTTGGAGTCAGCCACATTACACACCACTTTTTTAAAAAACAAGGAAGTCATTCTAGCAGTACTTGGCACTGAAGTAATCTCTGCCAACATGATAGAACTTCCCCAGCTTCAGACCTGACTCTGTAGGCCTCTGATTTTTTTCAACTTGCCTTCCTTCCAAAGCTCTTGTGGATGTCCCTTGGCAGTTTGAACTTCCCTGTAATTCCTACAGCTGCACCCAAACAATACATTGAAAGACCCCAAGGAAGAGCAATGCTCATATGTTCTTATTCTTACTTCACTCAGAAGTTGGCTACTGTGCCCTTCCTTTTAAAGATACATGGATGTGATACCTGCCTACCTGCAAAAAACCCACCCATAGATGCATGGACTTGCTGAAGTATGTCCAACTGCTTCAGAAATTGCATATCTGAGCTAGAAAGCGTTACTCTCAGTGGACTTAACTTAGATGTAGGAACAGACTAGACTGAACATCCTAACTAATATAAACTGCTATGTCATTACTGTATCAATGGCCACTGACTGTTGAGTGCAGAATAGCTGTTCTCAGCTGGTGTAATTCCCTTGCCTATGGGTGAGAGTTTTATCCTGAGAAGAAAAACTGTACCAGCTCACCTTTATAGCCTAGAAAAAAGGGTGAATGACTATGTTCTAACTCAATTAAGAGGAAAAATAGCTGCAGATTTTGTACAGAATTCTGTTTCAGAAGGAGGAATAGACTACAGAGCTGTGGGCAAATGGATGAATGTCCATATCATAACAGCTGTACAACCTAGCATTAGAATCCAAATTCTCTGACTGCTGGATCACTGTTCAAAATCCCTCTCTGCTCTCCTCAGCCACATTGTTTATGCACATGGCATTTTTGATGACATCAGATTAGATGATGTCACATGTTAATCGATGATTTTTCTTCTGCTAGCAATCACTGCAATGGAATAGGAGTCTGGATGTCCTCCAGATTGCCAGTGAGGTCTGGACCTCTAAGAGAGGTTCATGTGCCAAATCATTAAAGTACAAGTATCTTACTGGAAAGAGAATTGAATTCATTAAGGAATGCCCTGTAGGGATGTGAGGTATAGGGCTAATTCAATGGATATGGAAGTGCTTTCAGGACTAGTCTTTTCAGCTGTGATAAATATTTAAACAAATTTACTCATTTGTTACCTTTTGTTACATGAAAGCATCACATATGTAGAGTTTTGGCAAGTATTTTAGAATACCTTCCCTGAAAAAAAAGGGCTTTTGTTCATTTTGGGGGGGGGGGAAAAAAAAAGTAATCTTGCATTCCTGTATCTTGCAACATTCTTACTGTCAAATGCCACATGCAACTAATATTTAATAGAACTCAGAGTCAGTTCTATTGGAAACTGACATATAAACTTCTCAACAAGACAGGTTGCTGTGATCATCTCCACTTGTCTGTGTTGCTCATGCCAATAAGATTAGAGTTGGACTGCCTAATTTTCTGTTTGTCCTCCTACATGTAGTCCCTTCTCTTGAATTGTAATCCATTTGGAACAGATATTGCTCTCCCTAAGAGATGTGCAGTACCTTGCATAGTGGGCTTGAGGGATTACCCAACTCTAAATGATGATTTGGACGTGCTGCATATTGTTCTGAGAAGGTCACCCACTATTTTGAGTTTTCTGATAGGAAGGCAGTGGGAGAACCATCTTCCTGATGTCTCTTTTTTCCTCAAATAAACTGGTGTTGGTGTATTCTGTGCTAAAATTAAGATCACTAACTTGTTTTTAGGCTAATGTTGACCACACAAGCCCAGGAAAAGAACAAATGCCTCTGACAGGAAGATGGGGGAAGGGGAAAAGGTTCACCTTAGCTTAGAGGAAAGATGTTGCATGGCTGGAGTAGAAGAAAGACACTTCTTGGCAACATCAGGACATGGATTTATCTTGGTTTTACTACCAAGACTTAAGAATAGCCTTTTTATAAATCCTATTTGACGTCTTTTATTCACTACACCTAAAGGGGCAAACTGCAACAGTTCAAATTTCATCTGGGCCTTCTGAAAACACTACAAATTTTCTGTAGTTGACACGAGTCCATGAACAGAAGACTGTGAGGACTCCATCCCCACCAGATGAGGTTCCTTTTCTGAAGAAATGTATTCTGTCCCTAAAGGAGAAGCCGATATGTAGCTAAACTTTTAATTGCCATCATTACACATTAAGGAACAGTAGTATGTAAATAAATTGTTTTTCCACAACTCCAGTATGTGTATCTGTATAAATTCATGTGTTGCAAGAAAATGCATTTGCAATTTCTTAATGGTCTACACAAATTCATAGCGGCAAACTTGCCAGCAAATAACAAAATCTGAATATAAGTTAATAGCATGGCTGACAATGTCTATGTACTGACCTACCCCAGGATTTTTCTGCTTCAAGAGCAAGTGAGATTTTGAAGAAGCAGAATGACTCTTTTCCATTCCCTCCAGAAATCTGTGTCTTACACAGTGAGCTCCTCTTCCTGTGTGAACAAGAAAAGGGACCTAAATGCTATTTCTGCATCCACTTGACATACAAGGTTGCAAGAAATTTGCCTGGTGCTTTAGCATATAGTATTTTGAATTTGGGCATAACTGCAGACACATTAACTGGAACAAAATGATAGACTAGACTGCAACTGTGATATGTTTGAACACTGTTACCTTATTTGATAAAGCGCAAGCAGTACAATTTAAGTATCCAAATGCTTCAGGCAATTTGTATTGCTCCTTTTGTTGCATCCCGGATCTAACTGTAATGTAAGTAAATCCCTTCGCAATAAAAAGTGTAACCAATCATAATATAAAATACAAAATGTGTTTGGAAGAAAATTACCTTGAAAAGCCCAAGTGTTACCATTGGGGAAATTGGAGATTTTATCACCACGCTGAAAAGTGTTGCTTTCCCTCCCATGTGTAGCAAGTCCTGTACTCTCACAGTGCATTAACCAAATGCCAGCTAAGGCAGTCCTTTGTTTCCCATAAAGAGGCTTTTAGCGGTAAAACAGTTGCTATGGCATTTAAAGATACGTAATTTTTCAGATGTCTTTTAGTCTCTTTAATCTGGATGTAGAATTAGAATGCTCTTGGGG